TTTACCATGTATCATTTACCATGTATCACTAGAGTCTAAAGTATCACGGCGCAACAAATTTAAGGGATTTTTTGTAAATACTAAATTTGTCGGGACAGAGTGTAATTATTGAATTACACTATGGGATTCCTTAAATTTTTACTTTATAATACCTGAGGGAAAATTGTGAAAATGAAATAAAGTATATTAAGTATATCTGTGAAAATGAAATACTTAGATTAAATTAAATATAATTTAAAATAAAATAATAATACAGCATCAATTCAAATTTTGCGAATGAATAAGTATAAGTCATAATACAAGCATATCAATTAATAGGGAAAATTGTTATAAAATATCATTTATAATGTTATATTTTTGTTTATTAAAAAAAGTCAACCTTATCAAATAATGAATATCTGTTTTTTTTTTTATTTCAGCTACGTATTAGTTTGTCATTCAGATGATTGTTGTTGGAAATTGAAGGCATCTGTTAGAAAGAATTCAGAAACATTCATAGTGAGATACTTTAATAGTGAACATACCTGTCCATTAAGGGATAGAGTATTAAGCAAGGTACAATCCACAGTTGGGTTTATTAGTGGTGTGACAGCGCCTAAATTAAAGAATCATAAAAGAAAACATACTCCGAGCGATATAATTGATGATATCAGGGAAATGTATGGCGTTGAGATTTCTTATCAACAGGCATGGCGCGCAAAAGAGCGTGCATTGGAACTGATAAGAGGTAAACCTGCAGATGGCTACAGAAACATGCCAAGATACATATATATATGCTGGAAACTGTGTATCCAAATTCATATATAAGGATGCATAAGTCTGAATACAACGAATTTATGTATCTTTTCATATCATTAAGGCCAATGATGAGAGGATTTGAGTTCTGTAGGCCAGTTGTTGTTGTTGATGCTTCACATCTTAGTGGAGCTTATCGAGGTACATTTGTGTCTGCTAGTACACTTGATGGAGCAGGTATGCCATATTGTTTATGAATTTATTTTATTATTTTCTTAATAGTAAGTAGTTGTTTAGTATATGTTGTTTTGTGTTTATATATTAAGGTTGCATATTGCCTTTGACATACGGAGTTGTTGACACAGAAAATGATTGTTCATGGACATGGTTCTTTCAACAATTTAAGAATGTATTTGGTGAGAGGGAAAAAATGTGTATTGTATCTGACAGAAATGAAAGCATAAAGAATGGTGTGAGTATTGTTTATCCAACTGTTCCTCATTTTGCATGCATATGGCACCTCTGGAAAAATGTGTGTTCAAACTTTAGGAGAAGCAGGACCATTCTAAGTGATCTGTTTTATTCAATGGCTAAGACTTATAGAAAGGATGATTTTGAAAAATTGATGGCTAAATTGGATAAAATTGATGGAAGAGTAAAAAAGTATCTTCAAGATGCTGGGTATGAAAGATGGGCTAGGTCTCATGCAACAGTGAACCGTGGGAGAATGATGACTTCAAATATAGCTGAATGTATCAATGGTTGCCTTGTTGATGCACGACAACTACCTATAATAGATTTTTTGGAGGAAGTTAGAATTCTATTTGGTTCTTGGAATTGCAAAAATAGAGAAATAGCTTCTTATACAAAAGAAACATTGGGCAGAAGATTTGAAGATATATTGGTTTTAAACGCATCAAAAAGTGCAAAAATGAAGGTACATATTTGCTTTGTATTTATTATTTTATTGTTAAACAAAAAATGAAAAATAAACTTGTTGACTGTCTCTATTTTTTCAAAAATTGCAGGTTGTTGCGTCTTCTGAGTTTATTTTTTCAGTGTATGAAGGTGGGATTAGATACATTGTTTGTCTTGAGAGGAAAACTTGTTCATGTGGGAGATTTCAGCATGACGAGATACCTTGTCCACATGCAATAGCCGTCTTGAAGAAGAAGAATATAACAGATGTACACCTCTATTGCTCTGATTATTATAAACACGATGCATTAACAAATACTTACGCGATTCCAATAGAACCAATGCCAGACAAAAGAGAATGGAAAGCTCCAGACTCTGTTTTGGAAGAAGTTGTCTTGCCACCTAAATACAAAAAGATGCCTGGGAGACCAAAAAAAAAGAGAAAGAAAAATGCAGATGAAAAGATAACAACAAAAACGAATTGTTGTGGACGTTGTGGTCAAGAAGGTCATAATAAAAGAACATGTACCTTCTTTCCAAAAGATTCTTGATTTATATTTTTTTAGTTTATTTGATGTGTAATAATGCTTTTGGATATTTTTAATTTGCTAATAATATGTGAACTTTTTTTATTTGAACTTTTTAACAACATGTGAATGATTTAAGTTACAAAATCTGATTTGATACTAAATATATTAAATTTTGTATGCAGAACAAAAATATCAATTACATAAAATAGTAAACGTATAATGGATCTAATATTAACTAATATAATTAAATTTTAAAAGTTAACAAAAATATAAACTAAACTAAATGTATATATTTAATTATATATTTCATACTCTTGTATGATACTACTTATGCAGAACACAAATAATTTATTTTATTTAATGATATACTTAATTTTATTTTTTGATACTAAAATAAAAATTTAGTATACAATGCCAGATTCGGCTGTATACAAGTGTACCAAAAGACCCTCAGTTTTCAATCCTTACCTGTAAAACTCGTATTTGCATCTTAAAAATATCCCCAATTTCCTATTTTGGGATTAAGTGATTATTCTTCTCTTTGCCACAGTTTTGACAGGAAAAATAAAGGATCATCCAACAAATTTATTAATGCGAAGTGGCTAGAGTTACTGAAACACAAAATGACAAGCTAAATTATTAAAACTATAAAATGCTTAGTAATATTGAACAAAAATAATAAGTTGAAACGCAAAATACTCTGTTCCAATAATAGTTCAAAAATAATATAAGCCTAATTAATCAGCATCAACAAATGCATCTTCTGCCTGTTTAGAAAATCCGTCCTTTGGCTTTGTAGGATCATCGCTGTGACTAACATATCCATCATTGTGTTTGTCCATGCCATACTTCCATAAAAGTGTTATCTGTTGCGCAGATAGTCGCTCTGAAGACCAACAGATGAAATTTTGATTTCGTCGCTCAAATATTCAGCATAAGCAGCTACGAACATTCCACAATCACTAAAAAAAATATAAATATTAAAAAAGGATTTTAATATAAATAAAATCTAAAAACT